TATCTAAATCTCCACATTGTTAAATGAGCTTTTATGTTCACTTAAGATTATTCATCTTGTATTTGACTCTGAAGAGGTTTAACCTTATCTGAACCACTGGCCCAAAGCTAATGAATTGTGTCTTCAAACTGTCTCTTCTTTTATTTTATTATAATAGGGCTCAAAATAAAATTTTGTGTCAGAACAAGTAGGGAATGAAGTCAATTTTCTTCTGTGTGTAATGGCATACCAGCCAGCCTGTGTTATGCAGAAGCAGCAGAGAGCAAATGAGGGACACAGAGAGAGGCAACCTGCTCTGCCTTGGAGTCAGGCGTGTCCTGCAGACTTAGAGTGGCAAGGAAGGTGGGAAGGGATCTACCTTGGCTCTGTCCTTGTAATTGCCGGGGCAGGTCAGAGTAAAAATCGCTTTTCTCAATGAGGGGGATTACAAAGCGCTTTACGCTATGCCATGAACATGTCTAAAGTGTAGAAATGAATAACCCCAGAGACCGTAAATGAAATACAATAGAAGATATGTCCCTTTGATCTTCATGTGAACATTACCTACCCAATATCTGCATTCAAGTTGAGGAAGATTCACACGAACGCACTCATATGTCATTCTAATGGATGCATACTAATTTTCAAGATGTTTAAAAATATCATATCATGCTATTGGTCTAATTATTTGGATACTGGGCAAAAGTTAAAGCAGTTTTTGGCTCACCAAGAAAATATTGAGTTTTAGCTTGTGAGCTCAAAACATGCACTCTGCAAGTCTAGCTTGATGCATCTGTTTCAGGACTCTCACCTGGAATGATCTGAAGGGGCGCCAGTGGAGAAAGAGTTTTCACCCCCATTCCGAAATTCTATCATTCATGATTCATTATTTCGTGGTGTTGTTGCTCTTCTCAGGCATCCCCTCTAAATAATGAAAACTCTCTGGGGTGGCTATGCTATGGGGAACAGTAACAACTGAGTTAGTCCTAGTGACAGACAGATATTTTTTGCAACCAGAGGTGAGCACAAAATTAATTCACTTTACGTTTTTATAAATAAGGCCAGTTCTATCAATTAGACTTTCTTTTTCTTTTCTTTAACTTTTTTGTTGGTAAGAGACCAGTTTTATTTGGTGGGTGGAAAAACACTTTGTATATTTGCTGGAAATAGCTTTATATACTCTATTGAACTTTCTTTAGTGGAAAAGAGTGAGAGGAATTATGCGTATTTCAGCAAAAGAAAAGACTGTATAGCTGAATGTGATCAGAACAAGTGCAAATGTATTGCATCCCTAACAGAAATGAGGAATTGGAGTGGCTTCTTGTTTCTTTGTTTAATATCATTGTTTATGACTTTCAGTTAAAGCAATATAGGAACCTTTGAAGAATTGACTGGTATTTCATATAAGAAAAACAAAAACAAATCATTCAAGGCAAAAAAACACATACCCCCAAAACCAAGAAAAACAACAACAACAAAACATGACCCAAAGATTAAAGATAAATATATTACTTCTGCTCATCTTTGGACTTGAAGAACTTGCATTTAAGCTTGTCTATAGTCAAAATTATAGGCCTGATGGTTCTTTTCAAGGCACGTTTCTTAAGTGTGTGTGGACCACTGTTGCTCAGGATTAGGTTTAGTCGTTTTGGTTAGTGTGGTGGTCAATATAATAATATATTACGGGTTTTGCCTCAGATAGTTTTTGCATTAATAAAGAAATGTCTTATTGAAGATCTATTTATTCTTTGCTTGTCTTTTCTTTTACTGCTATCCCACAGTGATGGGAAAATGTTCTAGCAAGTAGCTAGAAAAATCTATGGGTAAGAATTGGCTCAATGTTATATGTCCTATATTTCTCCACTTAAAACCTTCATGCTTATGTTTTTAATATAATTGCAGATCCCAGAGAGAATGTGTAGCTGTTCCCCATTCAGGAAAACATTAACATGATCTGAGATCTTCCGCAAGACTCACAATTAAAGATATTTATTTAAAAAGAACATCATCCAAATTTCTAATTTAGAAAAGTAGCTTATTTATCAAGCACTTCCACTTTGAGGCTGAATGCACACTTGTGCATAAACAAATGAGCAATCAGTTTAGGAACATAGTCTTGGCAAAGAAAGTGGAAATATACATTTCTAAGTCTAATAGCAACAACAACAAATCCCTTCCTCTGCTTGTCTCAAAAATTTTTTTTTCAAAACTAAAGCTAAACACCATAGACTTGGGTGTTTCAAAGACCCTCAGGAGCTCAGAAGCTCAGAAGCTTTTCCAGACTCCCTGAGCAGAAGCTGGACACACGCCCTCTGAGCGAGAGCCTCCTCTTGTACACATTTCTCTCATAGCACGTCTCACAGAGCAGACGCATCTGTAGCTGTTTGTTTGCCACCTACTACTATACTCTGACTTCCTTGATGTAGAGATTCGGCGCTTTACCTCTCTGTCATTAAAATAGGTAGCACAGAGCCTGATACACAACATGTGTCTACTAAGTGCTAAAGCTCTAACGAAAGAATGACAATCAGTATAGCCCCACCTTCTCCATTCACAATTCCCTCCTTTTTCCAACTGCAAATCTCAGTATGTTTCCTACACCTGTGATACCTATTGTTGCCTCAAATTATTGCAGAATCAGTTGCCCTTGCTTACAGTACATCTGTCAACTCCTTCATCCCTATAAAACTAACTTTTCTTTATGATTCTCTTCTCATCCCTCTGCTGCCATAGTATTTCTCAACTACAGCCACTCACAGTTATCTCTTTCTTCTGACCTCCCATTTTACCACACAGCTTATCTTCCCGTAAAATGTGTTGAATCACTATCATTCCATTGTCTCAAATACTGTTTTGTAACATCTTGAGCAGTGCTGTCTAGTAGAAATTTCTGTGATGATAAAATACTCTGTAATCTTGCACTGTCCTATATAGTAGTCACTAGCCATATGTGGCTGTTGAGCACTTGAAATGTGGCTAGGGCCGCTGTGGATCTAAATTTTTAATTAAAATATTTAATTAGTTGACATTTAAATTTAAATTGTTATGTGTGGCTGTTGGCTACCATATTGGACAACACAATTCTAGAGCATGTAGCACAGTACCTGGCACACATAATAAGTGACTAATAATACTTAAAAATCAGATTGTGTTCAAGAATTTGTGAGAAAAATGTGTTGTTCTGAGAGAATTCTTATGCTTATTAAATACTTGGGAAGATTAGAAAATCTAAATAGGAATAAAAAAAGAAGAAATGGAATCCATTGGTAGAAATAACAAATTGATTTGAGAGACAGAAGGGAATATAGGTGCTATAGTAAAAGTGTATTGAATAAGAACAGCTGTAGCTGCAAAAATCGAAACTTATACTGATATCAAAATCCAGAGAAATAGCTATTTAATATACCAGCTTGATTCTGTCGTCTTTAAACTCAGAACATGAATTATTTAAAAAGAATATTGAAGAATAGAATGAGCAAAATGCAATAGACTTCATTCAACTACATTCTAAAAGCAGGATTTTAGTAAAAAAAAATGATTTATTATTAGAGCCCCTGACAATACACTGTTATATTTTAACTTTATTGAGTTGACTATCAAACTATCATAATTGAATTTTATTGTACTGACTATTGCTTGGAATAGCTGGTCATAGCTATTTGGTTAAAGATGCTTTTACAGTAGTCTATTTTTTCTGAACATTGGGCCTATATAAATTATTTTTGTGTACAGTTTGGATCCTAGTTACAAGCTGATTTCAATAGCTTATTTGTCTTTTCTACAAAATCAAAAGCCATAGAATTTCAGTTATCATTTATTTCATAAGTATTCATTGAATGTTGTCTGTGGGTCAGACAGTGTGCTAGGCTTTGGGAATAATCTGGTAAATGAGCCAAATGTATACTTTGTGGAACTTGAATCTAGCAGAAAAAGAGTCTGAGTGGTAAAAAGAAAAGAAAGGGTAAGAAACACTTAAATATGAGGTGATGAAGACATGTTAAGCAGTGTGCTTCCAACTTCCAACTCGGTTCAAAATGTATGCATCAGTTAGGAACCCATGAAGATCATTGCAGGTGAGGGCAGACAGAAGTTTTCATGGATGAAGCCTGGCTTTTGTTGACCTAAGAAGGGTGACTGGGACTGGAGAGAAGCTGACAGGAATATCAAAGGCTTTGCAGATGAGAAAAACACAAATACAACAGCCTACACCATGGAAATGAGTGGGGGGGAGGTGAAGAGAGAAATCTGGTGTGAGTGGGAAATAATCATAAGCCCACAAAACCATCTTTTCAACAGAAGATAGATGTGTGACATTATTCAATAAAGGCAGTTTATGGAGAGGATACCTACTCTGATACAACGCTGGGATGCCCAGGCGAGGAGGATTCTCAAAGTTCATGTACATGGAGGCCTGAGGCACGGGTCGGCCACTGGAGAAGGGTCTACAGATTTGGGTATCATTGACTACTTACACTGCTTGAGCCAATGACAGTGGCTAAATGTAGAGAGGGAGAGAAAGGAGCCAGACTAAAGCTCATAACTGAGGATAGAGCCTTAGGAATAAATAGTCAATGTTTGTTGGGAGTGATAAGGTAGGGTGAGAAGCAACTTACCAGAAGCCAGAGGAAGACAGAAGAGTGGATCATCAAGCAGGTCACATGCTGATAGGTTAAGGAGATGAAAATTGAGAAAGAGCCCCTCAATGTAGTAAAAGGGGGGCCCTGGTTATTTTTATTGAGGAAATTCATTGGGACAGTAAATGCAGAAACCATTTTTCAGGAAATAAGAAGAGGGCACATACAGTATGAAAATAGGAATCCACATATGTGAAAAGATCAGCATTGCAAATAGACTTCATAGAGGCTAGAATATTTAGTGAGTTATCTGTGTATTTTTAAAAGATAGATCTAAACATGTTGAAGATAGAAAATAAAGAACCTTGAGTGCTTTTGAAATTGAATACTTCACTGCTGCTTATTGTGCTTGCTTTAAACTTGAATCTCTTTTTCATTAAATCCTAGTGAGTCCCTCCCAGCAGAAACTCTGAAAAAGGCAAAGGAGATTGGGTTCTCAGACAAGCAGATTTCCAAATGCCTCAAGCTGACCGAGGCCCAGACAAGGGAGCTGAGGTTAAAGAAAAACATCCACCCTTGGGTCAAACAGGTAAAGTACTTTCCCTCTCTTCTCAAGATTCCTCAAGTGCAATGTAGGCACCAACTCAAAGGAACATTGTCAATAAAAAGAGGGGTTGAATTTGATTGTGACTGTATTTGTCCAATCGATGCTCATGATGTTACCAATTTTATTCAGCACAGGATTTCTTTATGCTTAAATAGGAAAGGATGAAAGGTTAACTGGGATACAAAGGTAAGAGTGAGTACACGATTTTCTTGGCTGAAACAAACAAAAAAAGTCAAAATGACCCCTCCTCTGCTTTTTAACCAAGTGCAAATTTATCTGTAGAAAGGGAAATCCTTAATGTAATAGAAGGACTTGAAATACCCTAGAGTGGTGGCCAAGGCTCTTGAAAAGAATATTTATCTCTTTTGGCACTAACTTTTTACAAGGTAATACTTTATTTTAAGTGCTCCATCATTATGGATCATTTTGTATTCATTGTGATAGGATTGGGCATAATGAGCTCATTTAGTATTCATGACAATCACACAAGAACTTTCATAGGTGTACCATTGTGATTTTGTGTGTGTGTGTGTGTGTGTGTGTCTTTAGAAGTAGAGGTGGCTTGGCTTAAAGTACCACCAGCTGGTTCTTGTCTTTTAAAACCACTGACATTTCCCGTGCACTCAGGGGGCACATGCATACCCTTAGGTCTCAGGCTTGATGCTGAATATTTTCTACTCAGCAATTATTATCTTTTTTCCTTCTTACCTTCTTGACACTAGCTTGCCCTGACAGCTCCCAAATCCTTGCTCTCTAAGCTGAGCTCCTGGCTCTTGAAAGCTGCATTGATTTACTTTTTTCATTCAATGAAATCTTTTCTCCTTTCCCTCGCCCCTATGCTTTATGAAATTTGTGTCATCCAGTTGCTCATTGCCATAGGTAACTTGAGTCTTATGCACTGCAAACCAAAAGGATTCTCACATACAGGTCATTTTGCTCTGATTTTAGATTTCATTTGCAGCTGCTTTAGACAGCTTGGCTGAGTAAGTCTTGGTAACCTGTTGATTATTTGACCCCTTTGTTGTGTTCATGAGAGTTGCTATCATAATGACTCAGGGATGCTCTGGGATGTGTATTGTCATTATTACTCAAGTGATGACTAAATTGTGTCGTTTTCTCCCCCTCTCTTACTTTCAGAATTAGAAAGCAATTGGGTTGTACCTATCTCTTTCCTGTCTTTGTTTTTGGCAGTAATAGACATTAAAGAAATACGAATGCAACACTGAAGCAACCTACAATCATTCTTGAAAAAGAAATGATAACAAAAGTAGTAGAAAGATGCTTATTTATTTGTTTGTTTGTTTATTTACTTTCTTCTGCAGATTGATACACTGGCTGCAGAGTACCCTTCAGTGACAAACTACCTCTATATTACCTACAATGGTCAGGTAAGAACTGCCACACTGCCATAGCGGAACGCTCTAGATCTGGTAAATGGCCCGCATGGGGGAGTATATACTTTTTGTCTTTGGTTATCTAGTGATCTTGGTAATAAAGATGACATCATGTGGTTCAGACGTGATGATGTCTTTCTGTTCTCATCTCGAGACTGCCTTAAGATGATGGAATCAAACAACCGAAAATATAAGGACAATGGTTACATGAACCGCACAGTTATGCCATGTTCTAACAACTATTTAATTAAAAAATATCAAACTTATTTTTTTAACAGTAAGTAGAGCTTTTATAACTTTATACTTAGAGGTCCCCAGGCTAATTGAGGATATATGTCAGCGAGGGAAACAATGAGGAAGACACACTCAGAGGCAGGACACACAGTTTAATTAGAGGGAAGAGCAACATGGTAATTTCCACGTCTTCTTTTTTCCCTTCCCAGGAGCATGATATCAGTTTCGATGACCATGGAATGATGGTGCTGGGCTGTGGTCCATATCACATTGGTAAAGTGATAACTTATATTTACATAGGGCTTTACAGGTTATGTAGTACTTTTCAAATGCCCTAATTTCATTATTCTAAAAACTATTTTAAAAGATGCTATCATAATAAATATTTTGCAGATTAGGAAACTGAGGTTCAGAGAGATGAAGCCCAAACGTATGCAGCTATTAAGTGGTAGAAGTGGGTCTCCAATGCAGCCTCCACTAAAAATCCCATCTCCTTTCATTCCTTAAGTCACCCCTTTATCATTTTCACCCTCATGAACTAAATTGAGCCTCTCACCGGGGTTGAGGAATGAATTACACTTGGACTTTTCCTCTCCTAGCATAGTATTTCACAAAGATCTATACTGGCCCAAGGACTTTATACATAAACCAGAATTATGTTTGTAGATGCAATTTCTGACCTAACATATGATTTCTGTTGACATCAAATGCAAAGAACTTTTCTCATTGGTGCATAGAGTATATATAATTTGATTAAAACATTCTCACCAGAAATTGTTATATATTCCCTGTAGACACTTAAAAGTAGATATTTAATAATAAGTCAAGATCTATTCTATTTACAAGGTATATTTTTAAATAGACAATGATATGTCCCAATAAGTGTATTTAACATTTATTTTCTGTAAGATAGTCTAAAATGGAAATGATAAAGTATATGATTTAAATGTATATAGTCTTACTTTGTTACTTTCAGCATAGTTTATTTTTGCTTTTACAGTTAACTAAGTGCTTCAGGATATGCTAGTTTACCAAATTTTGGCCAAATCATGAAGAGAAGAAAAGTGTTTATACCTTTACCACCATAGTCTCTTATGGCTAACTGTCCTGAACGCTGTCACTGAACCTACTGTTTTCTTTTCTAGACCTACCTTCCTTCCTCTTTAAATTTTACCTAATTTATGCAGCATTTCTGCATTACCCTAGGGCCCCGGGAAGACTAGCTGAGGTGACAATCAAATCTATATTTAATTGATAGTGAGAATTAACTCACTACTAAATTTGCATAACTTATTCTGACAACAATTTTTAGGAGACAAAGTCCGAATGTCAAGGATTAGTAAAAATCCCATAACTTTCAGTTCTATGGCATCCCAGTAGAGGTGATATTTTGAGGCATTTAAGGCCATTATCTTACTTCAAATTACTCCTTAGAAGGTCACTCACTCTGCATGGGGTGGCCTTGCCAAGCTTAAAAGGATATGCTTGGAAAGGACAGGGCTTTCTAATCAATTAAGATGTGTCAGAGCTACAAGGCACCTCAGGGGCCATTGGGTTTAGCCTGCAGACAGCTGGGTAAGCAGAAGGACTGAAACAAGAACTCGAGTGTTGTGATCACTAACTTAACTACTTTTGTGTACTGAGGTCAACGTGTTCACTTTGAATTTCCTTTCAGTAAATGAGGGCTATTTTTTTTATCATTACAGTGATCTCCCATTAACTCTGAGGTTCTGTATGCCACAAATATGAATTTTACCTATTGCAGAATTTAGCATATAAAACAAGCCAACATGTCAGTGTTGTTGAATTAGTCCCTGCTTTTCCTGCTATTAAGAGTGTAAATAATGGATTTGAAATTTGAATTTTGGAGTTTTAAAAGTTGAATTGAAAAAGAGGAAAGGAAGGGGCAAATAAAGGAAATGTAACCCCCCCCTCCCAATTGAAAGGACTTCCTTAGCTTGAACTGACTGGCAGTGTATTTCTGCTACTCTTTGTGTTGTTACTTCATGCTTCTCTTACCCTTTTCTCACTCTCATTGTCTCTGCAGGAAGCAGTGTGGAATTTGATTGGTGTGCTGTCTCCAGTATCCGCACACTGCGTCAACTGGGCAAGAAGACTGTGGTGGTGAATTGCAACCCTGAGACTGTGAGCACAGATTTTGATGAATGTGACAAACTGTACTTTGAAGAGTTGTCTTTGGAGAGAATCCTAGACATCTACCATCAGGAGGTAAATAAAAAAAGAGGAAGGGAGGGAAGATACAGTGTACACTTTATATATGTGTATTCATGTATATAGATTTATATTGTAATTCCCCTCAGGAGAAAGAGTTGTCAGTGTCTTCTATTGTCTAATTTTGTAGTGAAACTCTAAAAAGAATTACCCCAGCCTTAGATTCTTGAGACCCTGGCTATGAGTGATTATTTTTCATATAAAATTCACTTTTTCTTTCTGAGCATTCCAGCTATACTAAACATTCGTCTTAGTAACCTGTGCCAGACACATATTAACTAGTACAAGACAACCCCAATAAATATTTTGCTGAATGATTGAATTGGTCATCCAGACATACAATAAGCAACCTCTCTCTAGCTCATGAGTTGTTGCGGTTTCATGATGAATCACAGCTCCCAGAGGAGAGAAGTCACTTGTCCATAAAGGACCAGTTAATTCTTTGTGCTATCAGATGAAGCCATGAGTCTTCAATTTAAGATCAATGAGTCCATTCTGAATGATTTTGGCACCTTCATAGCATTTTCCTCCATTTGCTTCTGCACTTTCACTCTAATATTATTGAGTGTGTTTTCACTGTGGATTCAGGTGATCATAGGTTACTGTGCATCTGAAGAACAAGTTAGATTATCTTAAGTTAAATTTTAAAAAATAACTACTGGAAAATTTCAAAGTGATGACCAGCAGTTGTGGCTTTTGATGTCATTACAGTTCATTCCTTCCCACAGAAAATCATTGCAATGTGTAAAATATGGTTACTTAGGAAAATAAAATACTGAATTGGATCAATAATACTTCAATTCTAGTTCTAACTTGAGAACTCAGTGACTTGTGCAAGTTACACTCTCTGTGCTTCATCTTTTTTGTTAATGAATTTTATGAATGTAAAATTGTGCTACATGCAGGTACTGTGGAGGTAACACGAGATTTGTGGTTGAAATCACATTGTAAAGTATATAGTGCAATGTGATGACTTCATTAGTGTAAAGAAAAATGGACAAAAAATGGAAATTTATCATGGATGTCGTCTTAGTTGTCTATTTAGGCCTCTGCCTTACTAATCTTTTAATCTTTTAATCTTTTAACAAAATTGAACCATTAAGTAGAATATGCACAATTTTTAGTTTTCTCTCTGACATGGTTTTTCTAATGATTCCTTAATATTCATTTCAGATGCATAGGTGGGGATCAAAATAAGTGCAGTCTACAAGTGTTTCTTGAGCACCTTTTAAATGCCAGGTTTAGCAAGATAGAGAGCTATAAAATCAGGTCCCTACCTTCAAGGCATTCAAATAAAACTGGGATTCATGACATAAATATATGAAAAATTACATAATTGTTTAAAAAATATTAACAAGCATTGCAGGCAGTAGCAGCAGGCATTTTATACATAATTAATCATTTCCCCAGGGATTCTTTAAGGAAAGATTGGAAACGTCTATGACTGCCTTTGGATATAGTTACACATGGATATTAATGAGTTCCCTTCACTATAACTGAATTCAGTATGATAGAAATAAATAAATTGGCCTTTCTTTGAAGCTAATTGGCAATTACAGTGCTACTATATATTATAAGGTAATTTTAAATATTATGTTGGAGAACATAAGAACAATATTCCATTGATGTATTCTTTAGACTATCCCAGGAAATTACACAGATCTCTCTCTCTCTCTCACATACACACACACACATGATATATATGTGTATGTATGTTTCCTTTCATGAGGTTGTTGTGTATCTCCTCATAGCAGACTCCACGGTCTCTCATAATAGGTATTCCTAAACCATCAGGAGGCTGCCCTTATCTGATCTTGGATGCCCTTAGTGAGGCTGAAGGCACTGAGGCATTCAGTAGTCAATGTGTTGAAAATTGGAAGTACTTCTAAACTTATTCAGAAGCACACATTTGAGTCACTTAGAAGGGCAATAGTCTTTCCTGAGGATATATAGCTACATGAGATGATAGAAAGTATGATGGGTCTTCTGGTCCAGGTATCTTGGTCTAGTTCAAGATCAAAACTGTTTCCATGGCATCAAGGGAGCACTTCTAGAGAAACATTAAGGAGAAGTCAGAAAGGTTACATGCCCTGTGAGCAAAGCTGGGTGCTTTGAAGGGAAGTCTTGATCAGAGGTGAGTGAGAAGGGATGCTAGGAATGCTGAAATCTCCTTTCCACTTGTTCTTTTTTTTTTTTTTTTTTAAATAGAAAGTGTTATAATGATATAATCCTTTGGCTGTAGACCTTGCCCTAGTGATATTGGGTTTAGAAAAAGTAGGAAACAAAGCTAAGTTAAAAAAAATACAAATACATTTTGGTAAGAGCAATGGAACTTTAGGAGTCAATGGAATTAGTTTAGGCTAAATATTTTAGATATCTGTGAAACAATATCTGAACTTTAGAGTATTTTATTTCAGTAAATTACTTGAAAGTATTTAGATGCTAAGTGATTGTGATGATGATAATTTACCTGTGTGAGATACCAGGTTCTCTTCCCTAAGTCCCTACAAGTTCTGTACTTGAGTTGGGGCTATTTTCAGATAGAATTCTTCCAGAAAACTGTCCTATATTAACTTTGTCCTATAAGCATGTTCTCTTCCACTGAATTCTTTTAGCTGTACGAGCAAAACTTACACTCCACAATCTCACCATTACTCTCAACCATTCCTGTGGGCATGATTTGTCTTCCCAGTGATGATCTGTATTTCTGGAGGCCAATGATGAGAATAGAGTTTTGCCAGTGGAAGGTTTTCTACCTCCCACTTTTCAAAATGAATGTTTTAGAAATAGTTCTTGTATCCTATAACATTAACCACCTCTGAAACCAGCTAGAAGAATAGTTAGCTTAAGATTCAAAGATTTGATATATTAGTTAAGTATAGCTGTTTTACAATATGTAGAATTGAGTTTAACTAAGAAAGATGGGTAAGTCATTTTACCTTTACCAAGCTTCAGTTTCTCTAGGTGTAAAATGGGGAGAGTAATGCCTGCCTCAGAAGGATACTGTGAAGGTCAAACAGATAGTCTAGGGTAGGTAGTAACATCTTAGTAAATAGTAACTGTTTATGTTACTATTGTTTTGAAAGTTATTAATTTCTTAAAATAAAATTTCATACAGCTATTTTGAAAAATATTGGTATATTTATTAATTAAAGGCTTTTAATTCAACTTTAAGCTCCTATTTAGTTCCATTAACTCCAAATTTTGCTCCCTTAATTTTAGAGATTATCTTGAAGGCTTTCACATAAGAGACTTTTGTATACATTTTATTTGAGGAATTAGTTTTTAGCCTTTAAAATATTAATACCATTAATAAGCTAAAAATGAGCAAATACAAATATTTTTATAAAGAGAATAATTCTTCTTAAACTTTTTGAAAACCTGCATACCAAATATGAAAATGATGATAAAAGTAGCTAAGGTACATTTATAAATATGCAGAACTGTGTGGATTATTATTTTCAATACTGTTTACAATGCATTTAAGCACGCAATTGCAGGTGTTTGCTTAGGCAGAACTATAATTTCTCTCATCAGAGAGAAATTAGCTTCATTCCTTTTAAGACTATTTCAGAATGATTTCAAATAATGATAAAATACATTTGGTACATATCTGTTACTTCAGCAATTCTAATATTTCATTAGTAGGTCATTAAAGCAAATACAAATTATGTCAAAATCAATGGCCTAGCAGATACTATATTTTCTAATATGAACAATAATGTCATTTATACATTTGTATAAAATCTTTAATGTTTATTCTTATTTAATCTTCATAGTGACCTTATGAAGTAGCCAGGTATTTTTGTCCTAATTTTACAGATGAGAATTCTGAACCTCAGGGGGAGTTTTACAGAGGGAACCAAGAAGGGAAGGGACTCCTGACTTCAAATCCAGTTCCCAACATTCCACATTGGCTCACCCTCACCACTAGAACACAGTCTTGAGAAAATTTGACATTTTGTGGGTTTTATTTCTTTCTTTATTAACCTTGAAGTTTTGACTGCTAATAGGAGATTAAGATGAATGATTCTGGGACCGCTTATAAGGCAAATAGTAAGGAAGTAGAACTAAAGAATCAGTTAGTAGTTCTTATAGATAGGCCAAGGTGGCAGAAAAGGAGAGAAGATGTTAAAATAGGAGGTAGGGTTTAGAGTTGACTTTGGTTTAGGGATAGTTAGTGTTTAGATAAGGGAGAAGGAATTTTGAAAATCAGTTACTAGGTTCTGTAGACAGGTGCCAAGATAGCAGAAAAGCAGAGATGTTAAAATAGGAGGTAGGATTTAGACTTGGTTTAGGGTTAGTTAGAGTTTAGATAATGGAGAGGAGAAACAGAGGAAGGAAACTATCAGGGGAAGGAGAAGCGGTGCAGAAAGCTTGCCCGTGGGAGTGCCTGTGGCTGGGGATAGCAAGTGGAGTCCTCTGCCTGGAGCTAAGGGAAGTGATGATAGGGGAGATTGGAAGTGTTAATTGCTCTGTTGGTAATGAGTTTACACTTTCTCCTTCGGGTGACAAGCACCTTTAGAGAACTTTGAGTATAGAAGTAACTTGTAGGATGATTAATCTCAATATGAAGGGATGGGCTGGAGGGGAACAGGAGAGGTGAGTGTTAGAAGGACCGATCTGTATCCACTTAGGAAATTACAACAGTAGTCCAAGAATTAATTGATTATAGTGTAGAGTATATGATAAAAATATTTATTGGCTTGATTTCTCTTTCTAATTTTCACACATACAGATGTCACACATTCATGTGTAATTGTATGGAAGTTGTACATGGTAATAATGTGTAGTTGTATGGGACCTTACATAGATTTTAGCATGTATGTGCCTGGAAAGTTAGAATTAAGTCTATTTATCTCTTGTGTCACAAACTAATATTATCCATTGACAGGAGAAATGACACTATCACAGTCATGTTAATCATTTTCAGTGGGGAAATGGAGACAGCAATAGCACAGTTCTTCATTCATGATGAAGGTATCCCAATGGCTGATATTGCACATATGTTCTCCAGGCCTGTGCTGGCTGCATCATATCCGTCGGAGGCCAGATCCCAAACAACCTGGCAGTCCCTCTGTACAAGAATGGTGTTAAGATCATGGGCACGAGCCCTCTGCAGATCGACAGGGCTGAGGACCGCTCCATCTTCTCCGCAGTCTTGGATGAGCTGAAGGTGGCCCAGGCACCCTGGAAAGCTGTGAACACTTTGGTAAGGAGAGAAACACGTGTCTGTTTTTAATGTTCTCTTTTGAAGAGCCATAACCTGAATGTTAACTACTGCAGGTGTTAACCACAGGGCAGATAGAATGCGCACCGTGATTAGTGAATTTAAAGCTGCTCTACTTCCATGGTTGCAGTTAAATGTTGGTTATAAATTGATAGGAGTATTCTCATTAAGATGCAGACAATGAAAAAAGTTCAAACTCTTTTTGAACTAGATTTGATATTTAGAATTAGAAGCTAGAAATGTTATGTATTTCCATGTCCAATTTACATTTTAATGGTGTCTTTTGAGAACAAAAAGGGCTGGGTTACTACTTGTTGCAATGATGCTGTTCTGTATGTTCATGGAATATTTTAAACCATTCAAACATTTTTTGTTGTTGTTTCCATTAATTAGAATGAGGCATTGGACTTTGCGAAGTCTGTGGGCTACCCCTGCTTGCTGAGACCTTCCTATGTTTTGAGGTAATGCATTGCTTTCCAAACAATGATTTAAATTGGGAGATAGAGAACTGCAGGCTGTATGCTAATAGCACTAGGCTCTGATGTCTAGTAATCTGTAAATCCATCAACAATCCCCAAACCACCACAGCTAGATTGAGGACCTACGCACAGTCCTTCAGTTTAATGCTTTTCCTTCAGGGAGTGGCACTAGGAAGACACTACAGTCCTACATCTTAGAAGCATGGCTTAGGGCATCTCCCTGCCAAACTGTGGGAGGGTAGTTTTACATGAGAGAAGGAGGGCAATTTTAAAAAACTGAAACCAAAACCAAACCAAAACAAACATGAGCTTTCTCTCCCCAGCATTTGTTTTCTAATACCTAGGAGTGACAGCTTATCTTTGATTGCTGTCAGCACCTCCGGATGGTGCCACCGGTTTGAATTTTGAGTTTTTGAGATCACATCTTTTTAAATAGATGAATTATAATGGTGAATGACATGGGCAGTGAGGTTATTTTATATTAAACCTTGAAACTAAGATCTATCATCAAAGGAGAAGTTGTGAATTATCACTTCCTCTCTTCAGATGTTACCACATGTAAGGAGCTACTTCACTGAACAGGGCATAATAAGAGAAACACAATTTGCTGTGCACAATTTGAAAGTGTAAATGGAATTTGAGATGGGCTCCTTTAGAATAATGAAAATCTTCAAATGAGGTGGAAAGCTTTCCTTTTTATTTAAATGACATTTTGTGTAAACCACAAACTAACAATGCTACTCATTTGAGGCATTAATGTTAGTTAATTTAAACACAGATGTTTAAGGGAGGAGCGCAGGAAGCAGCCTTGACTATTGTATTTCCTTTCTCATTTTTAGTTTCCTATACTGTGAATTATCAGTGTTACAGCCTTAGCTTTCCTGCCTTAGATAGATGAAGACATGGAAAGCTCTTTATGTAAACTTTGGAATAGAGAAGAAAAGAGTAAAAAAAAAATTTTTTTTTAAATTACTACTTTATAAAAGGGTGTGGAAAGCGATATTTTTTCCTATTTCCTCCCCTCCTGTTATTTCTCCTCCCTCCTCCCCTTCCATCCTTCTTTGAAAATGTCAAACTTTGGAGTAAATAGGTTTCAGCCAGCGTTCTTTCTCAAGTATTTAAAAACAAGGACACAACTGAATACGTTTCAGTCACATACTGTACATTATATTTGCAAATGTTACTAAAAAAAATTGATTCTTGGGTAGCCTGGTTGGGATAGAAGACTGACCTGTTCTCCTGGGAGCCTGTGGGTTCAGAGCAGCCTTTGGTGACAAACTCTGAAGAAACAGAATTAAAGAAGCTAGGTCCTGAGAGGAGTCCTGTTGAGGTTCGAGGGTTACCTGAAACCAGTAGAGTGAAAACAGTAAATCAGAAAGGGCAAACCTTGGGGATGTGCCATCTCTAGAGCTACCATGGTTTTCTTTGGGCATTATCACAGGTCTCAACCCCTTCTCATCCCCAGCTTCAGTGACTTTTTACTTTGGCCGATTGTCCTGTTGATTAAATGGAGAAAAGTCTCACTTTAGGAGAAGGTGCCTTCTTATGTAGCCCAGACTAAAACTAGAGGTTGCCGGGAACCATTCTGAGAAGCAGTCAGGTCTAGGATGCTTTACTTCCCAACTGGTGAAGAAACTGACCTATTTTCCCCCTCCCTTCCCAGCGGGTCTGCCATGAATGTGGTGTTCACCGAGGATGAGATGAAAAAGTTCCTGGAGGAAGCCACTAGAGTCTCTCAGGTAGTGTCCCGTGTCCTCCCATTAACGTGGACTTCTTCTGTTAATTGCTACTTTATTTCATGTGTTGTTTTTCTTTTCACATGATGTTGCTAGGATGGTTTTCCTTTTTTGTCTACCCACTGGTCTCCTACAGGTGGGGATGAAAAAACTCAAATGCACTTAATTATACTTAGATTCTTAAGGTGAGGTGAAGAAGAGGAGAACCAGTGAATATTTGATCACAACAGAGATTTATATTACTTTAGACTCCAGGAGCCAGGTTGGTAAGCATCCTGTCTGATCATGAGTGAGATGCTCGTTAAATTATGCCTGGACTCCCCGGGCTCAAGGGCTGCCCAGCCATGCTCATGAACCCTGATTTTTAATTCTCACCTCTGGAGAGACTTTGCCTTAGTCAACCTTGCAACTTTGATGGTAAACCCCTTAGCTCACCTATTGATTTTTTTTCCACTTTGGTATATTCCATTTCAGTTAATAAAAATGTTTGTGATTTTGTGGTGATTCAGCCACCTTCCTGCACTGCCCCAGCTTTTCCTTTTTCCTTTGGTGTTACCTCAATGTGATCCATTTAAGATTGTCCCGGTGGGGTTATTGATCTGCAGACCTTGTAATGTAGTGGATGAAAGTAATGTTTTCCTTTTAAAAGCTTTCAAAAGCTAGTTGTGGCTGAAAAATATATATATATAGAGAGAAAGCACAACTTATAGAAAATAGTTTGATGTTAGGTGAGTGGAATTTGGAGGGAGCTGAAGAGTGAAGTCAGAGGCATTTCAAAGAGCAACGAAGAGTATGGATTGTTCCTGCACGCATGAAACTTGGCCTCCCGTCTGTGTGATAGTTCCCCAAGGACATTTGGGCAGTGAAGGGACTGGATACAGATAAACACTGAGAAGAAGCAAGGAGTGTAAAAAAGAAAGCCAAGTGGATTTAAAATTCACTTCTGTGTGAAAGTCAGATAACCAAGGAGGGGATCTCTCCAGTGGGCCAGTTTTCATGATGTGCTCTGGAACGACACACTGACTGCCCTCTGTTTAATTCTCTGCCAACGGTCTGGTCTGCCGTACTCCCCTTTGGAGAAACCAGCAGCTAGATCCAGTTGGTCTCATGTGAGTGATGAGGCAGATATTCTCTCTTTTTTTTTTTGCCTGAAACACTGAATCTCATAGGGCGTCTTAGTTGATAGGATATTTTTTAAAGTATTTTTTTTTTCTGCTAGAAAAAATATGACTAGAATCCTTACAGGACCAACATGTTAAATAGAGATGTCCTGATCGAGTACTTTCTGGTTGAAGTCTCCCCATCAAACTGTAGCAGAATCTGGTATACTCAATTCAGGGACCCGAGAGGAAAGCAGCCCCCATCAGTAACTCTTCTATTTATGTGTTCATTCATGTTTAGCACCTGCTACATAGTGGTATGGTTCTCAGTATCAGGAGTTACACTCACCAAAAAATAGATGAGTCTCTGCTCTCATGGGGAATGCTCTTTGATAGAGACATCAGAAAATTACAATTAAGTACGATGAGCATTGCAATAGAAAAAAACACGTGATGGTGAGATACAGTATGAAAGTATTGGAGTCTAGTCCCTGAAGAAGGGACTTTTAAATTGATTTAAAATGGCTGATTCATAGTTAAAAGTTTTATATCGTGGGTGTGAGAAGGAAGAAAGGACGGCATTGTGAAGATCTGAACCTGAGAAAAAGCATGGAGTTCCTAAGCTGATCAAGCATTCACTGTCTGGCAGAGGCCCTGAGTTTGGAGGGAAGTGTTGATTGCAATCATGATGGAGAAGTAGACTGAGGAGCAGATAAAGAGGACCTTTCAGTCGTTATAGGAAGCTTGCATTTTAGTCATATTTTTTACTTTAAAAAGATCACTCTGCTGTAGTCCAGAGAGTGAATTCTGGGGAAAGACTGAATTCATAAAAAGAGGCTGGGGCTGTTGCTGTAGCTCAGGGCAGAGATGACAGTGCTTTGGATCAGAGTGCTGATGATAAAATAGAAAGAAGTGCACACGCTCTAGAAATACTGAGGATGTGCCTGGAAGGCAGTTAGTGAATGGACAGAGATGGGGGGAAAGAGGGTAATAGGTGACTCCTGAGTTTCAGCCTTGGACAACTGGATGGATGGTGGGAAATTGTATGTTTAATTTTTGATCTTTTGAATTCGAAGTGCCTGTGAGGAGTCCAAGCGGACATGCTTTGAAAGCAGAGGGTTCTATAGATTTGGAACTGAGGATCAAGATCATGGCTAAAGACAGAGATGCAAACACAGATTTGGAAAATAAATAGCATACCATTTTAACTGAAGCTTTGGGAAGGGAAGCAGTTACCAAAGAGAGAGTCTAGAGGAAAAGGAGCAGTTAAGACAGAAGAGGGATGCCGGTGTTGAGGGGCTAGGAGAAGAAAGGACCTTAAAGTAGCCTGAGAAAGAAGCATGAAGGGGGGGTTCATGGAGACCATTGGAAGAAAGTATAAGCAACATGTATAATGTTGCCATGCAATTGAATGTATTAGGGAAGTTTCTTCCTCAGTACAATAAAGACTATTTCATAAATTTGTTCAATTATCCAGGAGTTGGGTGCTGTTGTTTTCCCACACAAATCCCTTTATCTGTGGGAGCACCTGTCCCCCAACTGCTGTTAGAGCTGGTAACGCCTCCCAGCTGTACTTCTCTGGGTAACCAATCTTAGTCAAAGGAGCGGAGCCCCACCAACTGGGAGGCCAGTCCCTCGCCTCACCACCACCCTCAAAAACCACCACCACCCTCAAAACCCGGGACAGTGACTGACTCGCCTCTAGATGGGACCTGCTCTGAGCTGCAGTTCATGCTCCAGAGCTCCCTGTGGCGTAAGGCTGACTCCAGCCTCCACTGAGACCACGAACTTACTTGTGTTTTCCTGCTGCCCCTGCTTTTCTAACCCCCTCGATAAATCACTTGAACAAGGATCCCTGTCTGAGGCTTGACTGAGGAAAGTAAGATAGCTGGTAAACTATTTTTGAAGTTATATTGTTATCATCATTAAAAAATTCAAAACAAAACACATAGGTCTCAACACAGCTTTACTAGACCTGCCACAGTAAACATTCAATATTTTATAAATGGGGACTATAGATGATAATAATTCTTTTTATTAGTTTTTGTTTTTGTTCTTGGCAAATACACACAGTTGCATGTTCCGTAGGCTTTTAAAGAAAAGGAAGTGTGGATATTTGCCTCATTTAATTTATTTTTCAGAAAAGTAAAGTTCATTTGTGGCATAAGACAATGATTATTTTGAATTTTCCACAAAATTCAGTTGTATTTAAAATTTTCCCTTAAAGGAGATAAGATGTGCATAAGGTAATAAACTCCATGACAGTGGCCAAAAAGGGTTTGTGGTCAGAGGGAAAAGGGATGTTCAGAGAAAGCTTCAGGGAGGAGGTAGCATTTAGCTAGGCCTTGAAGGGTGCATTGAGATTTGAAAGGTGAAGCTGTGGAGAGAAGGTAGAGCTCATCTGGGGAAGAGAGGCATGGAGACAGGTAAAAGCAGGGCCTGGTAAGGAGACAGCAAGTGGTGGTTTGCTGGTGCCTGGGGCATAAAGGAGAAGAGACACCCCAATCCTGGGACTCTTCCTTCAACCTCTTCATTCAATCTGGAAAAAGCAAGCAGTGCCCAGGTTGTGGAGGACATCACAACACTGTCAGGAAGGAACTGAATGGGAAGACTTCAAGAATGACAAGAGCTCTGAAACAGCTGAGAAAAGAAGGACATTTCAAGATTAGTAAAGAAAAATGTTTGATTTTGCAGTTGCAAATGTCATACCTTAGAAGTGGTTTAAGGCATTTCAACTCCAGGGAAAGGAGTCCATCTCGGGCTTAATAAAACTCATACAAAATGCTACTTACTCTGTTTCTAAATTGTTTTAAAATTCTCATGTAGAGAACTTATTTAGGAAGTTGTAGTACTTGGAAAAGATAAGTGTAGAAAGAGGGAAAGAACATGAACCGACAATAATATACAATTATTAGTAAAATAGGTAGTTTATTCCTCAAGTTATCTATAACTTTGGAAACAGAAAAGGAACCCAATTCTGCCCTCTCCTTAGCCCCCTCTTTTCTCTAACTCACCTCAAAGTCTATATTTGAAATTTCAAAACTCATGTTCAGTTCGCTGAGTCCTTAAACCTGGAGAAGCACCCTCTGTTTCACTGTAAACAGAAAATGACCTTGCTCTTACAATACAAGTTGGCCCAGGAATTTGTGTAGTGTGTTTAGCATTAAGTTCTTTTGCAAGTATTGCCCTGGCATTTACTTAAGGCACACGGCTTACTTGACAACACACAGATAATTTCAGCTAAAGGTTCTGTCCTTCTGTTTTCCTTGGTGACAGGAACACCCCGTGGTGCTGACAAAATTTGTTGAGGGGGCCCGGGAAGTAGAAATGGATGCGGTCGGCAAAGAAGGAAGAGTGAGTACTTTATCTGCGTCTCCCTTGTCCCTGTCTTCCCATCAGATATTATTTTTCTTCACAGTTTTGAAACATAACACAGATTAGAGTTTATGATTTCTACAAAACAGGTCTGTAAGAATGATGGACAAGCTGCTCAGTCCAACACATTTTCAAATTCTCTGAGAGCTCTGTTGGTGTGTCATGGGGATCACATTTCCCGTGTTCCCTACTGTTAGAATTTCTCTTTGATGATGTTCAGAATTAATTATCATCCTGTATTCATCATTCTTTGTGAATAGATTTTTCTCTCTCATTTTCTGTTGTTTGAGTTTCCTTTTATGTTCCAGTGGATATTATAAAAAACATCCAATACTTTTCTTTCTGAAGTTCCTCATTGAATCCTTGGTTTTTCTTCTCTCTGGATTTATCCCCCCCCCCCTTTTATTGGGTTAATAAAGACAAAACCAAACAGGGTAGGGTGGATAATGGTAGCCACATAAAGCTGGCTCACCATATCACAGCTCCCGTCGCTAATGCAATGAGTGTCCAGCGTCAGGGAGAAGCACAAAATGTGAAGGATGCTTTCCTTCAGTCTGCTAGTTGTGTAATCAGGCATTTATGGTTTATCTGGAAATATAGGAAGTTATGTTTTAAGAAGTTTATGTCATTTTATTTGCTTTAAGAAAATATAAAAAGGTTGGCCTTCGTCTGTCTTCTACTTTTGTAGATACTTCAGAAGAGTATTGAAGATGAGAATTTTTTTTTGTCTTCTAGATTAACAATTTGAAATGAGTTGTTTTCTTTTAAAAAAAAATCTATGTAATAATGATGACTTCTTACCACAGAATCATATAATCTTAAGTAGAAGCATCCTTAGAAATAATTTATTTCAACCCCACACCCTCCAAATATGATACATTTTTTCACAGCATCCTTGGAAGGTGGCCATTTGTTTTCTGTTTTAACTCTTTTGGTGATAGCACAAAAAGTTGTAAGATTTTATATATATATAAATTTGTTGTTGTTTTGAGGGTTTTTTTTAAAATATCTCATGTATTCTTCCTTTTGAACTAAGGCCTGCTTCCCTAGAATTTTCTTCCCTGACTTCCTGACCTCCACAGTTGTAGAGCATAAGTCTAGTCTTTCCACATTTTCAATATTTTAAATACTTGAGACTGGGAGTTATAAAATAAGAGGAATGTGATCATACCAGTGTAGAAGTGGGGAATGTAAGACTGGCTTAGAAATACATACTTTTGTCAAATTTTGTGCTGGTAAAGTTGGCAAGACAAGCTCTTGCCCTAAGCTTTTCCTAGACATGGACCACTGCTTATCTCCTGGCTCCCTCTTTTGGAAAAGTTCCAGGTTATTCACATTATTTTTAATGAGTCACATTCAGAAATGGACATAGTACTTCAGATATATAATGATAATTTCAGAGCTCAATTGAATTATTGCCTCCACATTTCTAGACACTATAAAAAACGAAGTGCTTACTGTGCACTAAATACCCTGCCAGACACTGCATAGGAGTTCTCCTGTATCCTCACAAACATTACAGATACAATTGTTATTCCCATCTGATCAGAGATCAAGGCTAAGCAGATAAAGTATCTTGCCCAGGTCACAGAACTGTAAGTGGCAATAGGAAAACCGAGACTCAGATATTGCTCTGCTTTAGATCATCTATAAATATGATAAGCAGATCTCCTCTGTTCTTTAAGTCTTTTACAGTCACCCAACCCCCCTGCCCCCCAAGCTTTATCGTTTCCCAAAGACACACGTTGTTAACGTCCAGGTTATAGTAATTGAGACGATAACCATTAGAATCTGATGGACAGAAGTTCAAAACCCTGACTTGGCCGCGTAGCAGTCACATGTACTCGAGTTATTTTTTCTTCTATTACCTTAGTTTCCTCACCTGTAAAAGGGGACAAAGGTATTGGCCTTTAACTTCCCTCCTCTCTCAAATTTCAATTTAAAAAAACCTTGATCTTTAGATCTGAAGTGTTCTTTCTGGTTCACCTAAGTGATGACATTTACCTGGCTAGGTCTTGACCTCCCCCATCTTCTTTACCTTTCCAATGTCTAAAATCCTAACCTGTAAGGGAAAGATAAAGACATCTCCAGCGCCTCCGAAATGCTTTAGCTTTCCATCTGTTCTTAAACGTCAATATGAGTTGGTTTAGTTGTCCTGTTTTCCTATTATTTACACCCATTCTAATCAATGGAAGAGGGAGGTAAGCCCAGGGCCCCTCTCTGGTTCCGCTGGAGGCAATCTGTCACTGCACAGGGAGGCTTGACAAGTCTACGTGAGCAGCTCCTTCTCCTCACCAGGGACTTGGCAAAGACACTGGTCAATGCTGGAGGCATCTGTCAGAATCAAAGGGGTGGGCAAAGCAGTAGCTTCATTGAAGTAGGTGCCTGACGACTCTTTCCAACACCTTCTTTTGGCCAGGTTATCTCCCATGCCATGTCTGAACACGTGGAAGATGCAGGCGTCCACTCCGGAGACGCGACCCTGATGCTGCCCACACAGACCATCAGCCAAGGAGCCATTGAGAAGGTATCATTTATAAATAAAAGTCGAAGGGGGAAAAGCAAAGATAAAATAATTTTTTTCTTAAAGCTAGGTAACAATGCAGGACATGCTCCAGGCAATATTTAATTATGAGGGGAACTTCCTTGCTCTGAGTCCCTGGGTATTTTAAAGATGACAGTTTCCTTCCCTGCCTTTAGAGCCCAGTTGGTTGTGTGCCAGCCCAGTGGTTCTCTAACTTTAGTCTGTGCCATAGCCACCTGGGAGACTTGTTAAAGTACAGATCCCCAGACTCCACCCCCAGTTTCTGATTCTGTAGTTTCTAGCCAGAGCCCCCAAATTCACATTTTTAACAAGTTTCCAAGTGATGCTGTTGGTAGTGGTCTGGGGACCACCTTTGGAAAGCTCTGCTGTGTATGATGCTGTTTGAGAGCTACCTAAAAGGTGAGCAGCATGTAAAGCAATATTGTGCAGTTAGAAGCAGGTAAACAGCAGTCATGGGGGAATCTTCTGGAACTGGAGCTTACATGATTCACTCCTAACACCACCTCAAACCGGAACTTGCTGATAAGTCATTTTTTACCCCTTTTAGAACCACTGCCTTAAAGACCTTCCCAAGAATGAAGAGTCTGCCTCAGTTCTCAGTATGCACCGCTAGGTGTGTTCTTAGAGGCTCTTATCTTAGTTCTTGCAGCAGATGTTCCTTTAGTCTTTAGGTGTTTTGAGTATGGATCGGCCTTTTTGGTGAGTCTTTCTAATAACCCTGCCATCAGAATCTAGGCAGGCCTGTACATTGGTTTGGATTCTGAAGGTCTTACCTAATTCTAGAATGAGAAGATAGCAGAATGCTTTGTAATACCAGCAGCATCAAACAACATCTTTGGATTTCAAATGTGCTTCAATTTCTCTTATCAGAATAAATGACTTCAAAAGCTCTGATCTTTCCAACTCTCTCAGAGCTCAGTGTGCCATGGCCTCCACTTCTTTTTTAACCAATTAAGTTAAACCACTCCTTTAAGTATAATGAATGAGGAGCTCTTGCTTCTGCAGTCAGTGCCACCTCTTGAGATGGTTCCCTCTGGCCCTGGCTACAGGGTACAGAAATTCCTATATGTGACAGGCAGACCCACCCTGCAAGGAAACACTGTTTTGCTCTGACCATAATACCTACCCTTGAAGAGTCTAGGGCAACAGAAAAGTACCTAAGAGAAATCTCTCTGGTCTCTTTGCAGTACCATGTAATCATGGGTCCTGCGCCTCTCAGCTGGTGGATCATTAGATTGATATAAAGTTCAGTCTCAGTTTCTGGTCCTGAAGTGACTAAACCAAAACAATTCCCTTTAGCCCTCAAAGTTAAACCAGAATATATCATTGTAGGTAGATAGGAGCATTTGGCAGACAAATAATGCTGTAAAATTATTTGTTTTTTCCCCATGGTATTCTGTTGTGAGATGTTAGCACATATTATTATTTTGTTAATAGAAACCTAATAGTGGCTACTATTATTATTGTATTATTATCATCATCATTATTATTGGAAATGTAGCTCTCCGTAACGAAAAATTAAGGAAATATAAGTTTAAAGTTCTGCAACTTGTTTTCCTTTGACTTTTACCTAAGGCATGTTCTTAGCACTGTCTTCTTGTTGTTCTGATCTAGGTGAAGGATGCTACCCGAAAGATTGCAAAGGCTTTTGCCATCTCTGGACCATTCAATGTCCAATTTCTTGTCAAAGGAAATGATGTCTTGGTAAGAAATGTCAAGGTTTTTGAGAAGACAGCACTGCTCTGTTAGGCCTTATTGGCTTTTGTCCCTCTGCTAATCTTCACTGTGAACACAACCACAGAGCAACTGAGACCCTGCAGCTGTTAGTACCTGGGTACGAGAGGTTTCACAGCATATAACGCCTGCCTTGTCTGAAAGCACAGGCTTTTGGTGGCATTGATATGTTAGTCACAGCTTCGCAAAGCACTCGGATCCATTGGAAAGATCACTGTTTGCCACCTACAGTATATGTAGATGGATACAGTGGCTACCATAAAGTAATCTGAACATGTATAATAGTCATAAATTATATGCACTGAAGTTTTGCTTTACTTTTTTTCCCAGAAAAGAAAGCTGTTATCTATACCACTTACCAAAAAATCAAAAATGTTGAATCAACTAGGTTAGTCTTAATTAATTTAGTCTATTTCACTTTACTAATGAGCAACCAATATGATACTGGCATCATAGAATAGGGAGAACTTACCCGCTAGTGTGTGTGTGTTTGCATGCTCACATGCACGCACACACGTATGTGCATGAGCATGTATTTGAGTGTCATTTGGTTGTCTGGTTTGAAGTGGATTATAAAAGTTTTCAAGGAAGATTTTGCATTTTTGAGCTGGATCTTAAAGAATGGCTGGAAGGACGTTAAAGAGGACATTACACATAAAACATCTAGGAGAAAATTCCGCACATTTTAGGCGATACTGGCTAGTTCAACTTAGAAAGATTATTTTTTCTCTAGGGAAAGTGCAAGTAAACTGGAAAGTAAGATTGGGGCCATGAAAGTGGCACAAGATAACACAGAGACGCACACTGAGACAGGAGGTAGAAGGCCTTCAAGGGCGAGACCTCAGTCTGATGGCCAGTGAAAATCCAATGATGGCTTTTGGTAGGGATGTGGGATTATCTGAGCTCTGTATTAACATCAGTCCATCAGCAGTGTGTGGTGGAGCTGTGGAAAGGGGAAAGAAAGTCCCAGTTAAAGATGCTGACTGAAAGAAAACCAGTTAGCAAGAGTGCCAGCAGTGGGAGTAAAGGGAGAATCTGGCAAAACAAGGGCTGGTCCCCAGTCAGTAACAGCTAGAACTCACCTGGTGGGGAGAATGCCAATCTTGTTGTCATTAGCACTCACCATCCTTTCTCTCCTTTTGAATTTTGTCTAGGTGATTGAGTGTAACCTGCGAGCATCTCGATCCTTCCCCTTTGTTTCCAAGACACTCGGGGTAGACTTCATTGATGTGGCCACCAAAGTGATGATTGGAGAGAGCATCGATGAGAAGCCTCTTCCAACATTGGAACATCCCATCATTCCTGCTGACTATGTTGCAATTAAGGTAACATTTGAAAAAACTCTATTAGTCGTTTTTGTAAGTTCTAAGGAAACTACAGGAATAATTTTTCATCAAAAGAATCGATATTTTATGAACCTTCTCACTAAAGTGCTGGACTGGGGAGTTATGATGTTTCCTTTGACTAATGCAATGAAAGTGCACTACAGTCAACTTTATGGGAACTACTGTGCATTTCAAAAAAAATTTTAAATCGTTTAGAATTGCATAACTTCAAAACCGACTAGCTAGCTGAGTGAATTAGAAACTACGTTTATGCGCTGATGCACTATAGTGCCAGTTTAGCTGGTAAACAGAAATCATGGACATATATTGTTAGGATAAGGCTTGAATTGAGCCACTTTTGAACTGTGCCAAGACTTCAAGAATGCATGAATCTTGTAAAAGTCTTTGTCCTGTGGTGTTGGTTAAATTCTTCCCACCGTGGCCACTGTTGCTTAGTCTTTACTTTCTTTAGTGGCATAATTTTCCCACTTGAAAAGTTGAGATAGTGGTTACTGTTTACAGTGGTGCTGTAAAAGTGATGAAAATGCCAGTACCTTTATGAAGAGTAACCAAGAAAACAAGGCTTTTTCTTCACTAATTTCCAATATTTATGTATATTTCTGGTGATATTTGTAATGAAGCCATTGTGCTTCTCAAGCTCCCTCACTGTTACCCATGCAGAATATTTATAATTATGACTTTAACTGCTTTATTGGACAAGCATGACGATTACTGAGATATTGTATAAATATGTATAAATTTTTTAGATGAAGCACACATGAAATTAATTTATATTGAGTAATATACTTATGTGACACTTACATATTTTAGATGCTTTCAAAGGACTTCCATTCCTACATGTACTAGTGACCTCAACCATAATTGTGTTACAGAGGAGAGTCTGCCTTCTGACTTTTACAGTGGAAGCTTTAAGATGAAGCTATAAATAAAAAATATTTATTAATCTTACTTAAGTAAATAATTTAGGATGCCTTGGAATTTATAGCACACTGAAATAGAATGTTGCCTTTTATGTTGGGGGAGGGTTGTGGCATTTTAATCCTGGACACTATGACAAAACATAAATTGTTAAAGTTTTCAAGGGGATATATATTCATAAATTTTTTTGAGACCAACAAAGTCCTGAAAAATATTTTTCCACTGAAGATTCTATATGTAAATTTCAAATTCATGTTTTTTATTCATAGACACAGGAATATATATACATTTGCACACGTGTATGAAACAATTTCACACTAAAAACAATATTAATGGATAGATAGGCACTTTTCAAAATACACTATATCTTCCAGTTTACTTCTTTCCTAGTTATCATTGTATATGAATCTACTATTTTCAAATTACTTACTAATAGTCAGTTTTAATAGAGCCCTAATAAGGTGGGTGGATATAAACAGATGAGGGTATTGGGAAGCTGGAATGCAGGAACGTATATATAATCATTTGACTACTATCACCCAGTGAAATGACTCCAAGCTAGAATTCCCATGACAACTCGGAGGGGTGCCAGCATCAAAGGTAAAGTAGTCTAGACCAGATAAATGGGTATATGCAAGAAATAAGAATTCAGTTCTTAGTGAGTTGCACTGATAAAAATGAATGAAAAAGAAGCACTCCTATCTATATTCTAGTACATATGAAAGTTCTGAGCAAAAGTGTTTCCAAGCAGAATGTTTTTCAAAGCTTTTTAAAAGGTGTCAACAACAGTTTAATATCTCAGAAGTCAGCTTAAAGACAGAAATTTCTGGCAAGGTGGCTTGTCACAAGTTCAAATGATCAAAACAAGAAGAGGAATGTTTCATAAAGCCAACCAAGAAAAAAATGTGTTTGAACTCTGTTTGGGTAGACCAATGCCCAGCAGACTTCGTTTGAAATCACTCCAGTAAGACTCTGTGTAGGCCAGATTAGAAACACTGGCTTAGACTGGTCACAGGGGCCCCATTTACAGAAATAATTTGTGATTATTTAACCCAAGTTTTTGGCCAAGAGCTCAGGAAATTCTTGGAACAGAGTTTTAAAGCTATTTTTCAAGTCAGATGCTTGGACCAAAGATATTTTTTTACATGTCTACCATAGCCTAAATGAGTTGTGTGAGAGTTGATTCACTAAATATATTTCTTCTCTCTTAGTCCTTTTGTACCTTTCTCACATATTTTCCCTCCCTATTATTTCTGACAGGCTCCAATGTTTTCTTGGCCCCGGCTGAGGGATGCTGACCCCATTCTGCGATGTGAGATGGCTTCCACTGGAGAGGTAACTAGTTAATGGTCCAGGACCACTTTCGTTAAATCTGCTTTGAAATAAATGTCTTTATGATCTGAATGTAGTAAAATAAGTTAGTAAGTAGTAAGGGGGACACAAACATCTGCTATCAGAGTAAGCCTGAAAGGGCTTTAGAATTTTGAGCTAAAGAAAAATCTTTTAGTTTGGGGGACCAGAGTCCAATCCTCACTTATATATTTCAACATGTGAATATAATACATGTGTTCTTAATTCGTTTCCACATTACACAGTAAGAATATCTTTCAAATATCTTCTGGGTTTTTCTTTTTATTTTAAGATTCTCAGGTCTCTCTGCAACATCCTCCCCCCCACATTAGATCAGTGGATTTTTACAAGCAATATGTAAAATGAATGTACAGCATCAGAAAGATCATGGACCTAAATATTGTGCAACATGCAAGTATATGCAAAGTTTCAGAACCACTTTCAAAGCAACTTGAATCTCTTGGGGATTACCTATAAACTATAATGGGACTGGCCACTGGATGTCCCTCTTCACTTGTGTTGGGCCTCTGTCAGCTGAAGGTTTCTTCAAGAATGTGAAATGTGTTTCTTGTAGAGAGCTGTCAGATTCTAGAAAGTTCCCTACATGTCAGTGTCAGGACATTTTATGAATCACCTGGCCCTTGACAGACTTACCAGATACAACCTTCAAATTCTCATCTGTGGACGTCAGACTGTCAACATCAGACTGTGAGGCATCACTGTTTCCTCCTGGTATTGAGGAAAACCTGAAAGAGGAAACATTTAATTGCAACAAATACTTGATGTTTTATATGGTTGCCTGGTTACAAGCAGTGTCTGTGATGAGAAGCCAAGTGAGACAGGAAAGCAGTCAGTGAGGAATAAATGGCTATCTTGTTTGTATGTAGTCTGATGACCGCATTCTCTTAGCTCCTTTGCTGCTGCTTTTAATTTAATAGGTGAGAAAAACCTAACTTTAAAATGAGGGACCTCTATTATGTTTCTGGGCCATTGAAGGAGGCTCTCTTCCGGGTTATCTTGACCCCATGATCACTCAGTAGTGGGGCTATTTTCAGCTGGTCGAGGGTTCAGATCAGGGAGAGATCTGTTTTCCTTCACACTGTTTGCTCTAGTGTGACAAATCTGTTTTCAGTGCTGAAGTCCATTCTGCCTCCAGACATACATTATTGGAGTTGTTGAAATATGAAAATATGAAAGAATTAGAAATTCAGCTCCCCCTTTGTTGTGTCTGTTTCAGAAATATAAAAAGAAATAATTCTCCTTCCATTATTAGAGTCATATTTCCAAGTGTCACGAAGTGTGATGTTACAAGGTCCACTGTATAACCGAAATCAGAATAATAATTCTAGCTTAGTGCAATGTCAATTATGCTTCAAAAAGATGTTCTCAGTGTTCACATGGCTTATTGAGGGATTGAATGAACCTTTAGCTCCTGATCTAGGTAAGGGGCATTTTATTTTCCCAGTGGTGAGGTGGGGATATCAGTCTTAATTTTTACTTGAATATCTGACTACTTTATATGTTTTTCTGTAGAAAACTGCTGAAACCACTTATGTGTTGTTGTATCTCAACTTATGATGGGATGGCCCAGGTTCTTTCATTAGAATTGGGTCCCATTAAGTTAGTTGACCAGAACTTGACCAAAGAAAATGTTTACTGTGGAGTATACAGGGTGGAGCAAAAGTAGGTTTACAGTTGTTTGTATGGAAAATAATACAATAATTAATAAGTTATAATAAAAGAATAAACACTCTGTTTTGCATACTCACAACTGTAAACCTACTTTTGCCCCACCCTGTATCCTGGTGGTCAGCTGAAGGTCAAAGTGATGAGAACTTTCCTTTCTTAAAGAAGGAATGTGGCCATCAGTGTTATTTACTATAATGGTGGTTCTGTACTTGTGCCAAAGGACGATGTGCGTGGCCGAGTCTACTCCCAGCATACTCACATGTACCATTTATTCTGGAGTTATGCTGGCCATGTGACCTGTACTTATATTGGAGCACAATTACTGTTGGTGAAGCCTCTATATATGGTAACATTATATAGTTCGGAATTGTTTACTTATGGCTGCGGGATTCAGGGCTAGTAGCATGGCATTTAGGTTCATTATATGAAAATTATAAAAAACTAACAAACTCCTTTGAGATTTTCATGGACTTGCTGAATTGCTCAGAAGGCTTTCTCATGAGCTGTAAGAAAGGGCTCCTAACCGATTGCTCAGCAGTTATGCATTTGTGCTACTGACCTGTGAATTCGTGCACTGTTGCATAGCACACACAACACACACTGTTATTTAAACATTATGTCGTATTAACATTTGGTAACTCACCACGTTATGGACCAGAAGCTGTGATTTGTATCCAAATAACTCACGGTAGAATCCAGTTATGTTGTTCCGCAGAGTGTTGTTGGATAGAGAAAGAATTGCTTATTCATTCATTATGCTTAATTAAAAACATAAGATACATCTGCCCTGGCCAGCCTTTTCATCCCCGGATTCAGATTGCATGGGTAATGCAATAATATCTGGCGATGGAGTCTATGAATAAACTGCTTTCCATTTGTAATTTTTTTTTTGGTAAAGGTGGTTGACTATTATTTGCTTCCTTTATTTTATTTTTTTCATTTATTCTAAACAGGTGGCTTGCTTTGGAGAAGGTATTCACACAGCTTTCCTAAAGGCAATGCTTTCCACAGGATTTAAGATCCCCCAGAAAGGCATCCTGATTGGAATCCAGGTACGTGGCGTGCGGTTGTGTGCATGCCGTGGGCATGTGCTGGGAATGGCTGGGGGAAGGCACCTTAATTATGGTATAGGAGGGGGACAGTGGTTCTTCTAAAGAAAACAGCAACTTACAGAGAGCATGTTCTCTATATGCTCCCTGATTTTTGCCTTTCTCCATTGCAGTGGACAATAAAATTAAGTGGATAAATAAAAAAGACAGAAATAAAAAGTCTTTAACGAAAGGGTATTTGTTCTGAAAGATATTTAGGGCTCCTTTTAAAGGAATCTCCTTCATTGTTTGGTTACATCTTTTCTATATGTTTTATTCTTAGTCATTCCTCCTTAGCTCTGAACACAGGCTTTCCAAAAGGTTGGGTCTCGCTCCTTTCTCTCTCTCTCTCTCTCTCTCTCTCTCTGTCTATCTCCATCTCTCTTTCTCGCCCCCCCGTCTGTCTCTGTCTATCTCCATCTCTCTTCCTCTCCCCCTGTCTTTCTTTGTCTATCTCCATCTCTTAACTTTCCCCTTTTCCAGCTCATCTATGTCTATAATATCCATCTTCCTATCTGCAACAATCACCTTTAAATCGCAATCCTCAGCCATCTCATGTTTCCAACAGTCTGCTGGACACCTCTATCTGATCTCTAACCCAACGCATCTCCCAAACTGAGGTCATATTATTCTCTTCCTGACCTCTGTCCCTTCCTTTCTTACCTTCATTCATTCACATTTCAATTTCTACTAAACATCAAAGATTCAAAGTTGAAGATGTGGATATTATTTGAAAAATTTCTTAGCCTCGCTCTCCATGACTAATTGAAAGTCCTTAAAGGGCAGTGACTTAATGGGCTTAGGAAAGCCAGCATATCCCACAGTATACTGTGGAGGTTCTTCAAATACCAGTATTTGGTAAGCCTTTTCTGTCGAAGCAGGGTGCAATAATTACAAGTGAATATGTTCATATAATGAAAAGGACATTGTTGGTTTATTATGGCAGGCCAAATATCAATCTTAGTGCAAAATGGTAGCCCAGAAACTCCTTGGAATAATTATTGCAAGAATGTAAAACCTGTTCTGTTTATAAATTTCCTGAAAAATACTAGATGCTTCCAAAGGGTCATTCACTTTCTTTTGAGATTAGTAATTCTTGGATCCTTTGCAAACAATAGATGGTCTTCTGCATCACCCCTGCCGCATTTTTAATAAGCTCAAACCCTGCATGGTTACATAAAAATCATTAAAATATAATTAGAACAGTACCAGGTATTCTCAAGCCAGTGGGTGATTATTATACACACCATCTCATTAGGGTGTCTTAATATCTGCAGATTAGACCCTGGAGACTGGATGGGTAGTCGCTTTGGAGAAGTTTCTGCAAAGAGTAACTTGGGATTTTGCTTCCTAAAGGTGCCAAAAGGGTGATGGTGAACAGTGAGAGCAGAGACTAACAAGATGACTTGCAACTGCAAAGCTTAATGGCAGTTTAGAGACACATCACACCTTATGAGAGACTCATTACCTTATGAATGGGTACTAAGTATTATTAAGTTGCAAGTATGAGAGTATTTGCCCAACTTCCAGCTATGGCTTAAAGTTTAATGTGAGACCTGGGGGCATTCAGAGGAGACCGTGCCCTTAATCCCTATCTTCGCAACGAATCATATAGTTCTAACATTTTAAAATACCAGTTTAAAAAGGCAGTGATGTATAAAATTGCGCCTTGTTTGGTTCCAGTGCTGCAGGGAAATATGAGGCAAAAATTAATTTGATCCCTATGAAGTATTTGTGTAATTTTGGCATCGGTGAACGGAATTTTTGCTTTGCAGGAAAGAAAGGGTTTTGGGAGAAAAAAAGAGTTTTCTTCAGCAAGGGGTTCTGTCCATTGAGATTCCACCTTCCCACAAACTCTTTTTTTTTTAAAGAAATTGTTCCAGCAGCTACATGAATTATTGCAAAGAACTCTCTCCCTGTGCATGAGTACATAATCTTAGGGATTTAAATATATAGGTATTTTTAATTACAAAGACAAAAAGAAAATATTTAAAGAAATACTTAATAAAATTGTATTTAATAAAATATTTGCAGCTGCGGTAAATTTGATCAGCATTATTCTAAGCCTTCAGAGATATACAAGAATCATCTTCTGACCTACTTTATATGGGAGGCAAGGAAAGCTGCCATCACCAACAGTTAATGTATAGTCTCTCCATTACTATACGAAGGACTTTCCTTTATAGTGATTTTAAAAGTATGTAGTCATAAACTTAACTAAACAATATGACAGGCTATACTAACTAGAGAATTATTAGCTATAAAAGTCACCAGCATCTTCTTAGTTAGAATGGGACCAAATCTAATTGCACGTTTTTACCCAAACTTCATAGCAACTGTGGACAAAGTAATGAAGGGTTCCATATCTCAGGATACATCGTATTTTTAAAAAATAATTTTATTTAACATGACTCCACTAGGTCAGAAGAATTCATATAAACTCATTTGAATATATAAAGTCAGAGCTTAAAAGGACCAAAAATAGTACTGCTAATATATAAATGGGGGTTAGGGCCAGTAAGTACAAGGGAAGGCATTTAGTTGAGTTATGCAGTGTTCTTCTAAGAAGGAAAGCCCACAAGTGCATTGTGACTTCCTAAGGCCATCACTGATCTAGCAGGTGTGTGGACTTCACCCTCAGGAGAGCACTGGCAGCCAGCACTGTCGCAGCTAATTTGCCCTATTTTTCCTGTATATACAAATGGGGAGGTTGGTCAATATCCATCCCACTCATCTCCCTGCCCTGACCCACCAGCCTGCTATGAGTAGAAAAGTTTAATTGAAGATTCCTTAGTTTATTATTAATATTTTACAATGGGTCGTAAGATAAAATTGGGGGAAAAGAGAAATAATGAGAAGAGGTAAACGTGACTCTGAGCCAGGGAACATTTTTATTATTGTTGGTGGTTTAACAGATATTTTAAATAGTAATTATTACTAGCGAATATCAGCCACTTCGAACATTTAGTAAATAGCTTGTATGTGGATGTGTGTTTGTGTGTGGGGGGGGCATGCATATACTCATTGGTTTTCTTGCAGAATTCTTAACTTTTTCTTTTTTCATTTCTCTTCTCTTTCCCCTCCTAATCCTTTACACACATAGACCCCCTGTGTCTGCCCTTCCAAGGTTAAATCCTATGAGTCAAATTACCTAGGAAATTTGAAATACTTATAGCATCAACATGGTGTACCTGTAGGACTTTGGAAAAAATCAGGATTTAGATTTTGTCAAGGGATCCTTGTTAACTTACCTATTACACGCACAGTGTCTCTACCAAGAGGCTCGCCGTAGGCATGGATCCTGCTATTAGAAAAACACAATGCAGCTTTACATGGGAACAAAATCATCGTTGATTCCCTTGTAGTGTTTCTAGTTTCCTTTCATCCCATCAGGGTTTATTTTTAGTTGCTATGAGCAGACGGTCTGCCTCGTTTTGAAGTTTTCTGGAACACCCTTTAACAATAAATGATTCACTCGAGAGTTGACCAAGGCCCTCGCTAGTTATTCCCCTCTGGTGGGGCTACTCTGTGATGCGTGTGGAGAGGCGAGCGCCATCCCGGCATCTGCGCCTCAGCATCGCTCAGAAGCACAGAGCAAGCATTCGATTCGAAAAAGACAACTCCAAGTGACTCGAATCACCTTTTATCTTCAATATAGAATCATTAGGAACCGCCATAGAGTTGTCAGCCCAGATGTCCCTGTAGAGTCCACAGGCATCACACAATATTAGCCTGGCTTCTCTGTTCTGCAGCCAGAAGTTGGAGTAATGTGAAAATGATAATTGGGGGAGATATATATAT